AATAGTTATATTGTAGATTAGCAAATCTTGAACTGTTATAAATTAAATTAACACAAACTTGATAATTAAAATTTTAATATTTATTAACTAATAAAAATATCTCTCCATTAGCGAACCAGTAGCTGAGATACGGGTTATCCAATTTGCTCATTAATTTATAAGTCTAGATAGTAAAAATGGCATAAATACTTAACAGTGGTATTTCGAAATAATTCCTTCATTAATTTGTATAATTGAGCAGCCAACATTCTTTATGCGTCACCTCAATAACAGGAATTGAGTTTGCTCTTTTAAATTAGCCATGGTAAAAGTTTTACATCATGGCTTCTCGTCTGATTTTAACCCAGTAACTAATTGTTCTATTGTTTGGTTCACCAGGTGTATAAGGAGATGATTTCTTATCTTTGAAAAAGTTTTAATATATATATAACAAAAGTTTGTCCATATTATGCACAAAATATTAGGGTTGAAGATGAAAGAGAAAAAATGAGAATTATTCTAGCATCAGTCGTTGAACTATTGGTATAAAAATTCGTGCTGCATTTTTTCTAATGAAAAACAGCTGAATACCAAGGCCTCATCAAAAATCACTTCTAAATCAAAAAGCCCTGTGTTAATCCTCATAAACTCTTTCAAGCATGTAATTGAACATTATTACAGTACTTACTACTTGTGGGTACTCTTGGAGAGGAGATAGAACAAATCCCAAATTATATAGACCATAAGACTGTTAATCCTATTGAGAGATCATTATCACCTACTCAATCCCATCAGTCTTATGAGCTGATTTAAGCTACAAAATCCCTTCAGATCCGCTATTCCAATGATAAAAAGAACCAAGTCATAATCATGTGACAGTAGAAATTCTAATGAAGGAAGACCAATAAGAGCATTAGGTTCTGCTAAACATGCGGCATTATGCTCTTCCTATAACACTGATTTTGTAATCTTAGCCTACAATAGAATATCGATGGCTTTGGCATTTAAGTAAGAGCCTGCTCTAGTACTAGATTAGATCCCAGAAATATTTCTATATATGTGAGCAGCATAAATAAACAAATATGTCCTGAAATTCATCTTTAAGGTTAAAAATAATTGAGTGAATGAACAGAATAAAATTGGGTTTTTAAAAATATTTGCTCCTCTCAGTAAATCTCTGCCCTGTGAAGATAGATAAACTTATTGCCCAGGGCTTGATTGATCAAAATATCCAATACAATTGTTTATCAGATAGTTGATAGGGGCTCAGGCCAAAATTATAAAAGTTATTCAAAAACAATTTTTTGGAGTGTCATTATGGTTAAAAAAAAGTATTTATAAATTAATATTTGCTGGGGAAGCAATTTTTATAGTATCCAAAAAAATTGCTAGATTTATTATAATTATTTATAAATCAACAGAATTCTTCTAGATTCTGATTGTCAATATATTCTTAAAATCCCACTTAAAAAACTTCACCTCCATTGTCATTTATATAAGCTCCAATCTAAGATTAAGGTTATAAATTTTGCTATATCTATTAAAAATGATCTTAATTAGCTTCATTCCTAGAATAATCTTCACCATCACTCACATCTTAATTAGCTTCTACAAAATCTCTACTATGAGGCTCATCTCCCCAAAAATAATCTTCTTTTACATTTTCATTGAAAACAGATCCTTTCTTATATTAACATTAAGACTTGCACTATATTGAAGATTTAACATTATAATTAGCTTCATTCCTAAAATAAAATAAGATTTATACTTTTTAATTAACTTCTCTTGCATTAACTTCATCAACCCTACCTTTATTGTAATTAGCTTCATTCCTAGAATAAAATAAGATTTATACTTCTGTTATGTTGTTAGATCTGCTCTAGCATCAACCCTATCTTTATTGTAATTAGCTTCGATCCTAGAAAAAAATACGGTTAATACTTTTGCTATGTTATTTTATCATTATATTTTTGCTATTTTGTTACATCAACATCATGAGTTTAATTAACTGCTCTTGAATTAACTTCATCAACCTTACCTTCATTTTAATTAGCTTCATTACTAGAATAAAATAAGATTTAAACTTTTGCTTTGTTGTTTTATCAGCATCAGCTATGTTGTTTTATCAGCATTATGAGTTTAATTATACATTAACTTTAACCTTACATTCCTTTTAATTCGCTTAATTTCTAGAATAAAATAAGTTTAACTTTTGCTTTGTTGTTTTATCAGCATCAGCTATGTTGTTTTATCAGCTACATGAGTTTAATTATTTGATCTTGCTTTATTTTCATCAACCTTATCTTCATTTTTATTAGCTTAATTACTAAAATAAAATTAGATTTATACTTTTACTATGTTATTTTATCAGCATCATGAGTTTAATTAACTGCTCTTTCAATAACTTCATCAACCTTATCTTCATTTTAATTAGCTTCATTCCTAGAATAAAATAAAAGTCTACTCTTTATTAATTTTTAAAGACACTTATATTGTCATCTCTTAATATTTTTTATCAATTTTGTCACACAATTTCTTAATCTATTTAAACTCACTCTTAGCATTCCAATCATTTAATCTTTTTTTTCCTCTAACAATTGAGACAAAATATTCTAATTCAGTATAAGAGGCTTCAGCAGGATCTATTTTGGTAAGAATTATTAATTGGTTGAATTTCATTTCAATAAATTTTTTTTTCCTTTAGAATTCTTACTTGTCAACTTTATTTATAGGCATATTTTCAATTTTCTCAAGTGTTTTCTCAAAAGGGATTTTCAGAAAGGTTAACAAGGTTTTTTTGTATAACTCAATTAGGCTTGTTAAACGAGTGTTAAATATTGCTTTTGGAACTATATAATTTTTATTTTTAAGTTAATGATGGTGATGACATGTAACACAAAGTTTCCTTTAACACTAGTGAGAAGCTGTGCATATATATTCTATTGTTTTTTCAAAATGATGAGGGCAGATCATAGTCTTTTGTATTTATAAATATAATTAATTTCTATCAAAAAATTAAATGATTTAAAAAGTTAAAAGAAATAATTTTCTGATAAGATTGGATAGGGATTGGCGTAGAAGTGTCATTAATACTTTAGAAAGAATTGATAGATCTTTGCTTAGTTGTGAACCTTACTTAGTCTCTTTAGGGTTTGATCAAGAACTGCCTATATACTGCTCTAATATACTGAGGATACGTAAAGCATTTGGGAATTTGGTCTTTACTACTTTTACATTGCCCACTAGTATGTAACTTTCAACAATCACATAATGTTGAATTTTCTAACCAGGATATTTTATCTTGCTAGTTTTGGATAGCGAGTAATAATAAGTATGTATTAAAATGGTTTAGAACAAACTTTTATAGCTAAATCATTATGATATAAAATCATATCCAATTTTTTTTGAGATTTTTACATCTATATCTATTCATTTTATTATTGATGATTGATCTAAACTCTTGGATATTTGAGATTTCTTATTAATAATAAAATAATTCCTTATCATTTAATTCTATCCAAACATATATATGAAATATTTAGAAATTAGTATAGTAATGCGTTTTCATTTTTTTTATCTGGCTATGAACTATGGAGAAAAATATGTAGAATGAATATAAAATAAATATTGGAAAATGAAAAATTATAATCTAATTTTAACTACCTGAGCAAATTTTGGAGAAAGAGAAATTCACATCTGATATTTGTGAGAATTAAAGTACATTCAAATAAATTAATTCTATTTAAAACTATAGCACTTCACTGATATAATGCTAAGAGATTTAACAGAAGGAGAAATAGTAGCGTTCAGAAAGGCATTAAGTATACCAATCTAATTAATAATGGATGATGGATCAGATGATCATTTTAATACCATTAGTTAACAATAATAAAAAAGATCATTGAGGAATGCAGAGGAATAAGTTTAGGCGGAGCTTGTAGAAGCAAAGAGAAAATATAGGAAAAGATGTGTACAAATATTATGATTGGATTATATGATATTGATACAATATTTGCATTGTTCAATGTTTATAAGAAAATATTATTTTTAATTCCACATAGTTATGATATTGATGATTTAATCATTTCTCCTTATATACTTAATGAGTATAGTATTTGTTATTTTTAATGCAATTCTAAAACGCAATTTGGGATATGGTAGACTACCTCTTTATATTTCTGATCTTGAAAAATGTTACAAGACAAAGAAGAATACTATATTGAATATTGAAAGCCATGGTTTTAAATTTGAGGAAGATAAGTTGTATGCTAATTTTGGTACCATTTGTTATATGCACTAAGAGTATCATATAAATTTCATAACAAAAATGTCAAAAATTATTTGATATATCTTGTTAATATTTTTAAACAGGCAGAAATAAATTTTTCTTTTTTTTATGATGATTGCAAAAATTTTCGTAAAATCAAATATCATAATTGAGCTTTTTCTTATGAATAATTTATTTAAATATATTTATATGAAAATAAATCATCCATTGCATAATTTATATAACACCTTAAGAAAATACAAAAAAGCATACGGAAATAGTGAGGAGTAGCAAATAGAAAAATAGACACTTAATGTATGTAATTAGTGTAATGTTATACCTTTTAAAATGGGTATTAAAATGTTTTTTTAATAATAGATATAAATATACTATTTATTAATAGGTGCAATTAAAAGAATTGGAATTTCTAGTAGTGTGTTATGATAATTACATTCTCCATTATAAAATACATGCTCTAAATGTTTGAAAGTTTGGATCTACCAATATATAATATTTGATGTCTAAATCTCTTAAGCAGTATCGCTTTACTAATGTTCCTTAATGTAAAATTAATATCATGAAATCAAATAAAATATTTACTCATCAATAAATTTTTATTAATCAGTTAACACTACCTCATTCTTTTATTTTTAAGATGAATTGACTTAAAACTACTTAAATAATATTTAACTTATAATGAGATCAAAATTCGTTTTGTTTTTGTTTTAAATAAAATTAATAAAATTTTTCAACATAAGTTATTCTATTTGATTTACATTTTATATTATTTGTATTGCTAAAGTTTAAGTTTCCTATATTTTACGACTAAATTTTTGTTGATTTCGTGCTATGATTAAATGTAATATTTGAATTTAATTTGAGTAGATCGGAATTTCATTAAAAAAACATCATATAGCAAAAAAGTAAATAATTCCACTTATTTTCCTCAAACATTTTCTTTTGAAGTATAAAGTCAATATTTAATAAAAATGTTATTTATGATACTCAACTTTTAGTTTTCAAGTAATTTAAAGAAATGGCTAGAAAGGTGATTAAACTTCTAATTTATTTAGCTATACCTTTGTTAAATCGGTATAAACCAAAAGGTGAGAATTAAATTAATTAATCAATATTTTTAAAACATTCTTTAATTCATTAATTTCAAAAATTAAAAAGTGACTATGATTATCAATTAAATTAGTGCATCATAATAATTTATTTGAAAAAAAAATTCAACTCTTTTCTATTTTAATTATAAACAGAATTTCATTTTCAAATTATTTTATTACATTAAGATGTTAAAAAAAAAAAAAAAGTTAAAAAAAATTTTTTCGATTTCTGTATCCTGTAAGTCTATAAATATAGAATTAAATTACTTTTTATCTACATGACATAATTAACAACAAAGTAAAGTTAATATAAAATATACAAGAACTGGTATGTAACATTCAAACACTAATACATTATATATTCTTAAGTTATTGAGAGCAATTCCATTTATCTATAAACAATTTAAATTATCTATAACTCCATTCTCTTCATTCAATTCATTAATATTATTGAAAGTGAGTATCAAATATATGAATTGCAAAATCATTAAGACAATTATAGCGCTTTAGCATATTATATATTTGATACTAATTGATTTCTAATTTTCAACATGCCCTATTTTTCAAATTTTCTTATACATAAATTTGGTGGGCAAAGCAACATATATTTTAATTCTATATATAATATGATAAAATAATAATTAATTCAAAACCCTTGATTCTCTGTTCTTAACCATATCATCAATTCTATTAGCACTTCATCTTCTACATATCCTTTTTTAAACAGAGGTTAAAGAAGTAAATGTTAAAATCCCTTTTTTTCTACATGATTTCTAATTTCAAATGAACATTTTCTTAACAATTTTTCTATTAAGAATTGATGTTTTATCTTTAAAATTTCTTTAGTGAGTTGATCAAAATCAAAAATAAATTGATTATTTGCTCTTTATGTTGATTTTTAATATCTTGCATGAAATATGGCTGCAATAAATAATTTTTATTTTAATTCTTCGTTTAAAAAGTACTCGTAAACATTTTACATATTTTCATACCTAAATCTAGTATTTTGTAATAACTTGATTGCTTACTTATTCTTAAATGTTATTTATATTTACCAATCTTCTACATTGAGAGTTTAGACATAATTATAAATTTCAGATGTAATTGCAGATATGTGTTTATACTCTTAAAGTTTTAGATGATCATATTAATTAATTATTCTTTAACTCATATCATTAAGTATTTAAGGTTCATCTAAGTTAATGAAGAGATTAATATGATCTTCTAGATTCATATCCTTAAGATTTCTTCCAATTGTTTCAATTATGAATCTATCAATTACATCTTTTATTTATTATTATTATAATTTATCTTTTTAAGCTGAGAGAATTAGTAAAGCTTTGATTGTATCTTAACACTGAGTTTCTTAATCTTTATTAAAATCAACCAAAGTTTAGATTGGGTTATTAATTAATTTTTCTGTGAAATTCTTATCTTAAGCTTCATAAGCTAAACAATATGACTCATTTATTAAACTTATCATTTCCTTTGTCCATTCAGATTTTGGTTATCCAATCAAATAATAAAGAGTATTAGCTAATAAAGCTGCATAAGAATATTCAAAACAAACATCTGCATTCTCACAAACTATGAATGTCATTATGGTGTGAAATAGTAAGGACCTGAAAAATGGTTTAAGATCTTTATTCTTTTATGTATACAAAGGAAGAATACAATTTACAACTTCCTCTTCTCCATTTCCAATCGAAAACCTTAATTCATGTTCTAGGTTCTCAATTAAAGATACAGAATCTAAAAATTTGTGAATTCTTACAAGAGATACAATCTCAATTTTATATGGATCAATCATACTTGCATTTGATCTTCTAACTTACAATCCATAACCAATAATTGGAAATGTAGTAACCAATTAATATTAAGATGTACAATTTTCTAATCCTTAGATTAAGTCTTCTTCTTATAAAATCTCCTTTTAACTTTATAATGTCATAATTGATCTATCTCCATCATCACCAAGAAATTTGTGTTATTTAAGACATTCTATAAATTTATTTTTAGCCTTTTAAAAGTCTTCTGTTGATAATCCTGCAAATTTGAGAGCTTTATTGTGATATTTACCAATTTTAGTTCCAATCTTCAATCTATCAGCTGCATCCTTATCACTTAATTAATTTAATGAAAAATCTTGTGTGAATAATTTTAATTCAGCAACAAAATCTGAAAGTTCTGTATTTTGAGATTAAGATTCTTATACTCTTTGAGCAAATGTCTTTTATTTCTTTTAATTCTGAAATTTTGATATTAAATTTGATAATCTCTCTAATTCTGATAGTGCTTTTTGGGCTTCTTATTTTACTTTTACTTTTAATGAAAGTAATTATATGTTCTATAACCAATAAGAGGCCAATTCCAATATCATACCATCAGAAGGATTTTATGGTTTAATTAGTGTTCCATCACAAGTTATTTCATCTTCTTGACTGGCCACCCAAACACCACACCAAACATTTGTTGTTTTCTCTTAATCCCATGGAAAACATAAGACAGGTGTTATTTCACATTATTTTCTTGGTACCAAAATATTACCCACAGATTCAAATTCTTCTTAAAATATTTAATTCAAATATTGCTCTCTATTCTAATTTTTCTAATCATTAACGTCTACTATAAACACAGGAGGTATTTATAGATTTCCTGTATGATAGAGAGATCTAAGACTCATTGAAATATGGGTTGGAAATTCATTACCTACTCCAACACAAATAAAATTAAGATTTCCTACATTTGGCATATTTTATTTGATTGCTCTCTCATCATAATCTCCCTATCCATCAGAAACAAACACAACTGTTAAATCACTTGTTATTTTTTATCTAATAATCTCTTAATTTAAAGCAACGAATGCACAAGTAATATTTGTACATCCTCCACCATATTATTTAATATTAGGAGAAATATTTTCATTTGGCTACAAAACTTTTACATTTGTGTCGAAAGTAATTGCTATTGACAAATAGGCCTTTTTCTTTAATTCATTATAATATTCAGCAACATATTTCCAATAGCTGAACATTGACCCTGAACAATCTAAAATTACAATTAACATTCCTTTTTCTTCATTCTTATTGAATGGAAGCTTGAAATAATTTAGTTGAACTTATTGATCCATTAGAATACTTTTTTTATCCTATTTTTTTATTTATATTCATATAAATATTTATTTTGTTGCTTATAAAGCAATCAATAATTCTTTCTTAATTCATAAAGTTAATAATTATTTTTTCATTATAAATTTAAGAAAACTAAAAAATATTCTACTTTAATATTTATTATATATTTATTTTATAATAAATATATATTAATTAAAATGATTTGAAAATTATATGAAATTCTCTTGACATTCAAATTCAATAATACTAACTTTAAATTCAAAAAGTTTACCTTCTACATATGCTTGATTGATGTACAGCGAGAAAGTAGAAAGAAATTGTATAGATGAAAAATATATATTAATATATATTAATAAACAATTATTATTCTATTATGTATTTTTAAGATGAAGTCAATATAATATCATCTTATATGCTTGAATCGCCTTTAATCTCATAAAAATTATTATGACCTTGAACTTTATTCATTTTTTTTGAATGAATTTTTTTCTTTTTTTCAATAAAGTCAAGGAGCAAAACTCTATAATAAACTTAACCAGAATACCCAGCCAATAACCTAATTCGAGTTTCGCATAATTTTTTCTTATATATTATTTACTTCATTTAATGAGTTAGAAACTTAAATGACCATTTATTATCTATAAAATGTATAGAAATATTGAAAAGGAGAAGTAGATAAATATAAAGGCTTAAAATATATATGGTCTTAAAGGTATCTTGTATTTTTTTTGTCTTTAAAAATTAAAATACTCTTCTCCCAAGGAAGGTTTAAAGAAAGCTAATTTTATTTTGGCTTTTGAGATAAGATAAATAGACAAATAGGCAAATAGATTCATCAAAGTAGGAGATGTAGAAAAAGAATGTTCTTTTTTTTTATTTCTAAGCCTTTGAAATGAAATTTTTAATTTTATTAATAATGATAAAAAAATTTGAGTTATTGATTATTGTAATTTTAAGAATAGGATATTATTTTCAAATTTATATCTTTCAAGATTAATTTGCATAATTAATTAGCTATAAGTGAAAAGTCTTTTTATTAATATTACTATTAATAGCCTTATTAGTGATACTAATAAATTGTTGGACTGTTACAATCGCAACTACATGTTAATGTACATAGATGATCACAGAATAAGATTGTGGAAAAAGAGTAGGTTTTACTTGAAATACTACAACGAAAGCATGTGCAGTGACTTAGACACTAATAACACCCTCAGACACAACAACAACCTTTACTGCCTTATTGTGATTAATTCAATACAGCTAAAGAATGTCCAAAGAAATCTTCATATGTATGGGATGGCAAGACTTCTACTCATTTAATTTGTTGCACAACATTTGTTAATGACACTGATGAGAAATGTTAAGCATTTTCAAATATTAATTGTAGTTTCATACAATATTGAAGTGTAATGCAAATTTAATACAAAAGGAGAAGTTTGTATTTGGAATACAAATACTGATCCTGTTACTTGTGCTGATAAATCATGTGCTACTGCACCAAATACATCATTTAGTGATCATCATACATATAGTGTATATTTGACTCGATGCAGATGCAAAGTTAATGTTTTTGATGTCAATTGAACCCCTACACTTTAAGGTTATACTGCATTGAGAACGATATATTTAATTAGCTACATGTTCTACATCAAGATCTTACATTCACTATATTATCAGAATGTTCATCCAGATTAAAAGCTTTTCTGATGGTGTTAGGTGTTTCAAATACACTTGGGACTAAAAGAAATACCATGTTTGTTCAACTGTTAATGGTTCTTGCACTGCAACTGATGCAGCTACATTAAAAGAAGGGGATTGTTACAATTTGACTGCATATCTATATTCATGGAATCCTGCAAGCTCTAAATGTACTTAATGTGAAACTGTTGTTGTGACACCAAACATTACTAATAATAATACAAGCACTGGTAATGATACAACTAGTACTGTTTCTGGATACATCCTTGGATTCAATGATTTTGATTATTAAATTTATATAGGGAAAATTTTAATTAAAAAAATTATAAAATTATATTTATCAAACTACTCTCCATATTCCTTTAGTTTTTTTTTTTAATAAATTTTTGAATGAATTATTATTTTCATCATGACAATATATTAGTAATAAAAATTACAAAATGAAATTAATAGGATAGATGATTATTATAATGAATGTTTATTAATTTATTCATTAATGCAACTTTCTTATTCTTAATTCTTTTGAGATCTCATCCCATGTAACAAGATATTCACCATCTGGTGTCAATGTTCCCCAAAATTAATAAGTTTTAAAGTCAATACTTTACTCTAATCTTAATTCATTATTTTCCAAATTTCTAAAAATGTTAAGAAAGTTTCCATTCTTTTAAGCTAGCAATTATTTAGATTTTATAAATCTTGGTTAAAAAAGTACATCTTTCACATCACCAGGTCCAATCGGTTATTTGTTCAAATTTTTCACTTACAGAATTAAATTAGTAAATAATCATTTTATCCTTGTCAACTGGTTAAAAAGAAAATTAAATATCAGAGAGAAAACATAATCCCAATCCATATTTTTCTGGTTTAATTATTTAAACGACGCTCCATAAATTATTTCGATAATCTATTTTTGAAACCAAAATTGCATAGTCTTTACAACAAGATAATAGAATCTTTTCAGATTAATTCAAACTCAAACTATGTACTTATCCTGTATGATCAGCTATTGTTTGAGACAATTCCCATTATATTTTTTTCTTCCAAAATCTGATAGTTTTATCACCAATAGAGGAGATTATAAGATTCTCTTCTTAATTAGTAATTAAGCAACTTATAAATCCTGTGTGACCAGTTAAAGTTTACTTAAGTTGCCATTAATTTTTTGCATTTAATCCCCATTAACATATCAACCTATCATAACTACCAGATAGTAACAAATTTGATTATTTTAAAAACTCTAAACACCATATAGGCTCAGAATGTTTTTCAAGAATTTATAGTTATAGAATATTTCCTAATGTAAACGAAAAAACTTTTATTTTTTCCATACATCCAACCATCATCAATCTTCTATCTTTATCAAAAGTTATAGCATGGCATTTTTAATCTTATTTTGTGAAAGCAACATCTTACATCAATTAATATTTCCAAAAGGATTTTGAATCTGGAACAGAATTTCCTAGAGAGCAAGTTCGAATTAGTTTAGATATTTTTGATTATCTTATGGAAATTTTATCTTTTATTTTGTCAAAACTTGATTAAATTGATAATTTAAAACATAATTAAGTTCAATCATAATTCTCATGTTCTTCAAACAAAAGAACAAAATCTTTTCTATAACTATTATCATTTTAGAATTGACTTAAACAGTTTATTGCCTAATCAACTTCTTCATGATTTAAATCGTTCCATTCCTTCTGTAAAAATATACTTTTTTTCTTCAATTAATTGAGCAATTTTTTCTCTACATCTAACAAAATTTAGCATGATATATCTATTTGCTAAGTACAATTTTATTTAATGTGTTAAAAATACTCATTAATTAAAGAAATATCAGTGATGAAACTTTCTTTATTTTTAATAAGGTTTGTCTTATGTTTTAATAGCACATTCAGACCATTTAATTCTGATATCATTTATTGTTGAATACTATTAACCTATTTGAGGCTAATCTCTTAAGCATTGATCACACAATACTCTATTTGATTCATTGTTTAAAATTACAAATTTTACTGGGGATTGGTGATTTTTGCAGAGCAAATGATATTAATTTCCCTTTAATAATTAAAATTATATTTACAATTATTTATTAAGTCGTTAGGGATTATTAAAGATAATACTTTTGAATATTAAAGTGTTAAATATATGTAAACAGGTATTTATTTGTGAAGTCTCTGGACTAGATTAGATTAAATTTTAATGTCGAAAATGATTAGATACTTAAAATATTTTATAACATTTAATTTTAATTTGTGACCAATAGTTCTTCAAATGGTCACTCAATCCTTAATGCTAGGAATAGAAGTTTCTTAACAATGCTTTGAATAGAATTATTATAACTTAATCAATTAAATATACGTTGAAAAATTTAAAATTAAAATAAGAAAGAGATTGAAGAACTTTTTTTTCATGAATAATTTCATCATCAAAAATTTTCTATTCTGCAGATGATGCAATCGTTTCTCACTAATTCAATTCTAATAAATATTAATTATTATTAAATAATAGTATTAAAATGAATATTGGAACCTAATTTATAATTTATAAAGAAGTTAGAGGATAATTGAAAAGGATTGAGTTCAACATTTGAGTTAACTTTATCATCTTTATAATGTTATTTGAATGAGCTGAATACAGTTTCACACATATCAATTTTTTGGCTTATGTATTATGAAATATATGTCTTTGATATTTTTGAATTTAATATTTTTTTTAATTTTTAGGTGTTGCTTTAAAAATGAATAATTTTTTGATTTTATTAAAATTGAACTAATATTCAATTTTTACTATCACTTATATTGAAGAACACGCTTATTTCTTCACCTATGGATAGTAGATATAGTATAAATACAGTTAATTCCTAATCGTTTGATGAGCATAATGGCCATAATTTTCAATAATTATAAATATTGATAAATTATTCATATCAAAAATATAAAAGCAATGCCGATAGTATTAAAAGCTAAGAGAATATTCTTTATACTATCCTATTCTGTATTAAAATTATTTATTTAAACTTAATGAATAAATGATACACAAAATTTACTTATTTAATTTCATTGAATACTCCTAAACTTTTTCTAACTATTTTAGCATAAAATGACCATAAATAACATTAAAATTCAACATATTTAGTTATATAGTCTGCGCAGCAAAATTGATAGGTAAATAGATAATTAGATTTAATCATAAAAAATTCTCTTCTTATTACATCTAAATTGGTTAAACAATCCAACTCTTCCTTGTTCTCTTTATTCTTGCAAATATTGAGTCTTTGCCTGATTTGATAGACCTCAAAATTTAATAAATAAAATTAAATATTTAAAAAAATAATTGACTCATTCAATGCAATAAAGAAAATAATTCATTACAGTATGAATCATTACTGAATAAGTGACTCTAATTGTTATTAATCAAATTAATAGTCTTCTAATTGTTAGAATAGTTCTTCTCCAATGCCATCAGAAATGGAAAAATCTATGTATAATAAGAATAAAATGTTTGTTTCATTTTTACACCTAAGTAAGTTTTGATTACAGGCATGATAGTCTTGAAGAAAAAGTTTTCGATGGAGAATATAAGCTTAATTCAATCACTCTGAATAATTAAAATAAGCAATTTTCTCATCTAGATTAATTATGCATATATATAAATTTGACAATCATTTAATAAATTTAAAATTTAAGAATTAAACTTAGATAAAATATATTGTTAGAAGGAAACAACAAAGATCTCAAACCTACTAAAGCTATAATAATTTATAATTAGATTTTAATCTAAATTCATATGAGTTAACAACTGCAAGATTGTTATGTGCTTTCTACTTTTTTTAAATTTTTTTCATTTTGTACAGCCTATTGCTATTAGCTATTCTAATTCATAATAGAGTTTAATATAAAATCTCTTAATTTCTAATTGGACGACTCATTTAAAATTTACTAATAATTTATCTCCAAATAATTCAATATTACTATAGAATGCTTTATACACAACTTCCAATAGAGATTTTCAGATTATTTTTCAAAAGCACTTTCAAAAATTGAAAGTTTATTAATATATTATTAATATTTTTGATTCTACTACTCCTCCACAAGATCAAACTTTTATATTTTTATCAAATTAAATGCTCCGAATTGTATTTCTCGCTCTAACTCTTAAGGAGTAACAGCAAATTATTATAAAATACTGGTTAATCTTATCATCCTGGCTTTGAATTTTTATTCCTTAGTATATTCCACAACAGAATCTAGGACTTCATTAATAATAGCAAATGTTAGACCAACAACCGGTAGTGATTCTAAGATTCCTGCTCCAAATTTCGCTGTTTACTATACAATAGCTAAAACTTTCTCTGAATTACTTTCAATCATAGAATCATTATTTTTAGAAAATAAATTAGTAGAAATCAATGACATAGCATGTAGATAATTGTATAAACGCCAAAATAATGATCTATAATATAAGTATTAATTAGTGTTACTAGGCTGTTTTAAAAGGTCTAATTCTTTTTAAATAACAAACGATTCTTATTATTATAATTAAAGAATATCCTAGCTGTGTTATGTTAACTTACTATCAATATTCTATTTATATTATTTAAATTCTTCAAACAATTATTGTTTGAGAGCCTAAAACATATCCAAAAATTATTTTTAATCTTAAGGACTCTCACTCTTTTAATTTTAAGCAACAACTTTTTAAACTTAATCTTCAAAGCTATTAATTTTTGATTAAATATATTATTCCTCTTCTAAAGATATTGTGTTTTTTCTATGTAAAGTAATCACTTAATCTTTAATTTACTCGAGCTCTTAGTCTATTTCAGTTACGGTTGTTATATGCAGTAGCATCTTATGGGTTTATTTAGATGGCTTTCGTGTTCTCTTGGATAGCTTAGTCATATTAATTCAAAGCTTTATAAGCAATCCCTTATTATAAAATATAATATATACCACGGTTATAATATGCTAATGCATATTATGGGTTTATTTAGATGGCTTTCGTGTAATCTTGGATAGCTTAGTCATATTAATTCAAAGCTTGATAAGCACTCCCTTATTATAAAATATAATATATACCACGGTTGTTATATGCATCAGCATATTATGGGTTTATTTAGATGGCTTTCGTGTAATCTTGGATAGCTTCACTATACTTCTTCATAAAATAATAAGCATTCCCTTATTATAAAATATTAATATATACCACGACTCTTATATGCATCAGCATATTATGGGTTTATTTAG